AAAAAAAGCCAGAAGTGGCGCTGTGGCTCAAGTGGTAGAGTGCTAGCCTTGAGCTGAAGAAGCGCCCAGGTCCAGAGTTCAGGCCCCATGACCAGACCCCCCCCCCCAAAAAAAAATTCCCAGCCAGGCGCCGGTGGCTCGCACCTGTCATCCTAGCTACTCAGGAGGCTGAGATCTAGAATCACGGTTCAAAGCCAGCTCAGGCAGGAAACTCTGTGACTCTTTTTTTTTTTTTTCCCCAGGGCTGAGGACCGAACCCAGGGCCTTGCACACTGGGCGGGTGCCCTTCCACTGGGCTAAACCCCCAGCCCCGTGAGACTCTTATCTCCAATAAATGACTAGGAAAGTGGAAGTGGTGCTGTGGCTCAAGCGGTAGAGCGCTCGCCTTGAGCTGAAGAGCTGAGGGACAGCGCCCAGGCCCAGAGTTCAAGCCCCACAACCGACCCCCCCCAAAAAATAGAAATCCTTCACTTAAGATACAAGGTAACAAGATTCAAGATAACATTTATAGCTAGGCACTTGTGGCTCACGCCTGTAATCCTACTCAGGAGACTGAGATCTGTGGATCATGGACCAAAGCCAGCCTGGGCAGGAAAGTCCTTGAAACTCATCTCCAATAAATCACCAGAAAACAGAAAGTGGTGCTGTAGCTCAAGTGGTAAAGTGCTCACCTTGAGATGTAGAGCTGAGGAACAGAGCCCAGACCCAGAGATCAAGCTCCATGAACAGGAAAAAAAAATAGATAACATTTATAGGTTCCTGGGAGATAACCTGGCTGTACTTTAGATTTGGAGTCTGTGTTAAAAGGCTTGGCCTGACCTGACCTTGGGGGACACAATGTAATCTTTAAGAAGTGGAATTTAGTAGGTGAACTTGGATCACTGGGAGCATTTGTTTAGAAAAGATGGTGAAATCTAGATCCTTTCTGTGTTTTTGTTACCTGGCGGACATGAGGCTAATTTTGCTGTACCGTACCTCTGCCAAGATGCACTGCCTCTTCACAGAAGCAACAGGCCAACCAACTGTGAACTAAAAATGCATGAGGCCCTGGGTTCAATTCCTCAGTACCACAGAAGCAGTAAAAGCCAGAAGTGGCACTGTGGCTCAAGAGATAGAGTGCTAGCCTTGAGCTGAAGAGCTGAGGGACAGTGCCCAGGCCCAGAGTTCAGGCCTCATGACCGAAGACGGGGGGGGGGGGGGGGAGGAATGGATGGAATGAAAACAAAGAAACAAAGAAGCTGGAATTATAAATGTGTACTACCATATTGGGCTAGAACAACATTTTTTAATGTGTGTGGGTTTTTCTGTTGTTGTTTTGGCCAGTCCTGGGGCTTGAACTCAGGGCCTGGGCACTGTTCCTGATCCTCTCTACCACTTGAGCCACAGCACCATTTCTGACTTTATCTGTGTATATGGTGCTGAGGATTTGAACCCAGGACTCTGTGCATGCTGGGCAAGCACTCTACCACTGAGCCACATTCCCAGCCCCTAGAACAACATTCTGAAACAGGCACCAGGAAATGAAATTGAGTAAAATAAAAGGACCGAGATGTGTTATGTGCCCATCCTGGCAAGCAGGGCTGGAGGTCAGCAATGAGCAGGTGAAAGAAGGGAGGGGGAGAGACGAGGAGAAGGGAGAAAAGCGAGATGTCATTCCTGACCCTGAGTATCAGTGCTTCATATGTTTTCTCCACTACTGGCTGTGACGTAACCTAATCCTACCTAATTCTATAGGGAACCAACAGTGAAAAGTCACCCAGCTTCTACCTATTCTCCAACTCCATGCCACAGGTTCCTCATTTCTCACCAGCTGCTCTGAGGCCTTACCTGACAGCCCTACCCTTGCCAGTGTATGCCTAAGAACATGTAATTCCTGCAGTAGATCTGGATGGTTTTGAGAACATTGTTGGGGTCATAGATACAGAATTACATTAAACGCTGGTAAAATGGGGTTGGGAAGCCATGGGAGGTAGGTCTCACAAATATGTCACTAATGGCAAGAGCTACCAGAAAAGATTGACAAAATAATAACCCTCTAAAAATTCCTTCCACTAGGAAGCCCATCCAACAGCTTCCACCAGCCTTGGATGGACAACAGGCTTGTCATCAATCCGATTGATGACAAGGACATGTGTTCATGAGCATCTTGTGTAACTTTCATCTACTTTTTATTTTGAATTTGGGGCCTTGTGCTTGCTAGGTGAGTGATCTACCACCTGAGCCGCTCTGCCAAACCCCATAATCTTTTAAATGCTCTTCTGTGCCTCTGGCCCACCATGAGGTTCATATACCAGAGTACAATCCCTTGTTATTCCCAAATAAAATATTTCTTTTTTGGGGGGGGGTTCGGTTGTGGGGCCTGAACTCTGGGCCTGGGTGCTGTCCCTCAGCTCTTCAGCTCAGGCTAGCGCTCTACCACTTGAGCCACAGCG